CTCAGTTTCCTCAAGTAAAAAAGCTTTGCTTGCAAGCACATTCAGAAATGAATCCCGGGAGGAGTCAAATGATGCTGACTTTGATCACCTAGTTCACCTTGCACTCATTAACACCATGAAATTTCAGATTTAAAAAAGTCTACAATGGAAGCATCTAGATTGAGACTTGCTGAGTCGGTATTCTTCAAATGACCATTTTTGAAAACACTGATAAAGCCTCCTGGAGGTCAGTGCCAGCTTGGGATTTCCCAGGTGCTTGTTCTTGGGACCCAGGACTGGAGAGGTAAGGGTCATATCCCCAAATTCCAGTGAACTTTCCTTTGGGGCATATAATAGACAAACCTACTTTTAAGCTGGATCTGGGGGAACCTAGAATACGGAGATGGAGATATTTACATAGGCAATTTTGCTGCTAGAGAAAATACTACCAAAGTTGCAGTATTTTCTTTCCTAGGCTGGTTCTTAGGGCTAATCATAAAGGTGCCATCATTAGCCTGGGCCAACAAATGGAAGGGGATAGTAAGTGAGTAAGAGGGGTGTGTGTGTGTGTGTGTGTGTGTGTGTGTGTGTGTGTGTGTGTTGGGGGAGGAAGGAAGGTTCTTGAGTCTCTAAAATATCAGGTACTCTTTCCTTACACACACACAGAGAGAGAGAGAGAGAGAGAGAGAGAAAGAGAGAGAGAGAGAAAGAAGCAGAGACAGAAAGGCAGGAAGACAGAGACACACATAGAGAATTTTATATTAAACAAGAAAAGAACCAGCAGGAATTTTTTTTCCACCGATGTCTCCCATTGAGAAGGGGCTTCTTAATGCGGCCATGTAAATCAACACCGAGTTATTTCTTTGAATTCAAAGGCCATTTATCCAGGTCTAATTTCTTTAGAATTAACGTGATAACTGAGCCCAACTTAGCAACGAAACCCAGCCAAGTCCTGAGCGGCTTAAATGTGCTGTCATAGCCCCCTCTAAGACTGCAAACCTTCCTGTGAGATCCGAGCACTTCAAGCCTTGCACATATACGCAAACGTCTCCCAGAACCAAACTGGGGGCGATTCTGAGACCGAGGGGGCCACTTCTACACACCCATTTCTGCAAGATAGAAGTAGAGGGGGAGGCAGGCCCCAGGGAGCTAGTTTTTTCCCCCCTACTTATTGTGACAGTAGTCCACAGCATCTCAACACCTAAAAAAGTAAAAAGCAGTTTAAGCTTGCAATCCCGCTTCCTAAAACTTTAAAGAATATGACTCTTATCTCGCAGTAACAGGCCCTTAAAACCCCAGCTTAGGCCTCCAGATTTCTAAGTTTACTTGTATTTTGAATGATAAAGGTTTCAGTGGCCTCACCAGCCCTCATTCCCCTCCCACAGGCAAGACTTGGCGAAGGCTCCCCAGAGCGCGGAACAAAGAGGAAGGAGCCTGGACTGCGCAGGAGGCGCCGGGGCCAGGAGCCCCTGAGGTGTGTGTGCTTTTTTTTTGTAAGGCTCTGAAAAGCCCTAAATTTTGCTTCTAACTGAAGAGGTGGCAGCAGGTTGCACTAGGATGAAGTAGGGGCGATTTCTACCGTCCGGTGTCGCAAGCTGCTCCAGCGAGGGGTTAGGAAAGGAACGGCCCAACTTCAGTTGGAGCAGAGCGACTCGGGCTCCAGAAAGTCTGTGCGAAGACCGCTGCACTTTTGCAAGTTGCAGAGGCCACACTGTGGCAGGCACTAACCGCCTACTCTTGGGCCACAGCGGTCTTCCGCTCTCTCGTCCCTGGACTGCTGGGAAAGTGGGAATGGTCCTTCCCAGGATCCTGTCCCGAGACCGCTGTCCAGCACGGCGAGACCCCTTTTACTCACTACACCGCCTCAGAGCAGAACCTGGCCCACCCAGCCAATCTCAACAAAACCTGCACCGTACACCCTACCCGCTAGCTGCACAGTTGCACCCCAGGAACAGAGAGAAGGGATTTTAGCCTCTACCTACGGAGCAAGGGATAAAAACCCAGACAGGACACCTGAACGGACAATTCCAGCCTGCCAGCCTTCCTCACACTTTAAACAAACAAGGGGGGAAGACCCCTTCGCCAACAGACGCTGCGCGCCCGGGATCTGGCGCTTTAGGGGCGAAAGGACGTTTCCCCGGCCCACCACCTCCATCCAGACGCTATCTACCAGGGTTCCGGGTAGTCAGCGGGCAAAGCAGTGCACCTGCGAACATGACGGGAGAGACACAGGAAAACCAAAGGGGAGAAACGCCTTCATCGCATTAAGAGCGAGCTGCAGAGTGCAGAGTAACGAAACTGCCCTGTGTACCTGCGGGCTTTGAGGGTGTCAGGAGCCGGGCGCGCAGCCCAGGTGCGCCACCGGGGGCCAGGGGGTGCTTCCCTTTCCCTGACTTCCCCTTCTGCACCCCGTCCGTCCCTTTACCCAGCCCATCTTTCATGTTCCTAGAAGATGTTGTTGTTTGAATTCACGGCCGATAGGTAAATGCACCGATCGCGTTACAGGTTCGCGTGTTTAAACTGCACCTCTTGTCAAAAGAGAAGGAACAAGGGAGCCACTTAAAGATGAATTCAGAGTTACTGAACCGGCTCCCGGGACTGAAGAAGTTACGCGTGGCGGGCTGGGTAAAGAAAGAGGGAGCAAACGTAGCTGCCGGCCGAACTGGGGAGAAGACAACGGGCGGGCTGCGAGCCTCGGGTCTTCTGATGAAATTAAAGAAGGAAAGAAAGGGGGGAAAAAGGGGGAGGGGGGCAAACTGGCCTGCGGGTACCTGAAGACCCCGGGCAGGTAGCTGGGGAAAATCAATTAACATAAGCTGCCGTCGGCGACTCTGGCGCTACCTGGAAACCGAGCGGCTTGGTCTGCTATCACCCTTCCCTGGAGTTCCAGCGGCAAGCAGCACCGCTAAATGCTCTACTCTAGCGTTCCTAGGGTCGTGTAGCTTATGGGCTGCGGGCGAAGGAAGGTGCAAAGATGTCCCCATAGTTTTCCCAAAAAGACAGACTGGCCCGGGCAACCCCCAGACACCACCACACAGGGCTGCGATCCACACGTTTCTCCTTGTGGCCAAAAGATTGCAGCGAAAGCGAGCACCGAGCCCAGGGGGTAGGGTGGGGTCCTCAGAGTTCGCCCACCCAGTCTCCACCTTCTGGACACGCAGGACCCTGGAGCCTACCTGTAGCAGACCCCAGGACCCGACCCCGAGGCGTCCTGGCTTGCCCTTCTCCAAGGATCCGGTTCTCCTACCTGGTGGCTGGGCCTGGACGTGGCCGCCTGGGCTCCGCTGTCCCTGCTCCGCAGCTTGGACCTAAGTCAGTCTGGAGACCCGAGGGAGAAAGGCTAGCTCCGTAGCCCTGAGCTGCTCCAAACTTAATGTCTTTCCTCAGTCCATCTTTGAAACAGAAGTGGTTCTACCACCTGGATGTGCGGATATAAACCCCCTTGCAAATAATAAATGGATTAATAATAACAAGGTATGAAGTTCTTTTTATAGAAAAAAAGGAGAGAATTGAAACTAAATGCGGCAGTTAGACAACCATTTTGATAAGAGGATAATTGAGGCGACACTGGTGTATAATTAGAGGATAATTTATGCTATATCCACTTTTATTCCACCTCCCAAAATAAACCCAGTCCATAATCATTACAGGCAAATTGTTCTGAATTTTATAGCAGCAATTTGAACAAAGTACTGCAGTTAATCATGGGAGATTTTTGTGTATTCCTGATTAGAACTCTAATTGCCTCCTTCCAGAAAGTAAAAATAACTGTAAAACGACTCTATTTTTATCATTAACAATGTTGACAATAAAATAAAATCAATTGGAATTGTAATCGAGGGACAAATTTAGGACGAAGGCACTTTTACTTGGGTAGTTTATATTGTAATCAAGATTTGCCAAACCACTAACCGCATGTATCATTTGCATATATTTGAAAGCATTACAGTAGCTTCTGTTTTCAATAGGAAAAAAAAAAAAGACATTACTGTCAGCCCTCCAACGAGTCTCCTTCAGAGCAGTCTGATGCGTTCTGGGGGTGGGAGGTGTCCCCTCCTTTTAGGGGAGTCAATATATAGGAATAGGGCCTAAAGCAGCAGGAATCTAGCCAGAACAGGGTCTGACTTTTCCTTACTACCCTCCCCCGCCATGAGATGGAGTCCAGATGTGGGGAGTTCTTCTTCCCTCTATGGTTTCAACAAAGTACTTCTAGAAAGCCCACCGAGCCAAGGTGCTCCCTCGGGAGTTAGAGTAGGGTTGGGGTCCTGGGGGAGGAGGAAGGTCAAGCGAGGGGTGTGCGTGTCTGGCTATAAACGCTAGGGCCACTGCTTCTGGACATAGGCAGCCTGAAAGGGTGCAAGGAAACTGAAAAAAAAAAAAAAAAAAAAAATCAGCCCCCAGCCAGCCGTTCCCAGTCTCCAGTCCTGGAACCGAGGGCTGCAGGACGTGGGGCTGGAGCTTCGCTGGGCTGCGTCGGCAGCCTAGCGGGCGCCTCCCTCCGCCGCTGCTCCCCTTGAGCTCCGGGCGGCCCCCAGGTTGCAGCTCCGGGCTGAGATTGTAGTTGCTTAAGGTAGGCGAAGAACTCCGCCAGCGGCGCACACGCCACTGGAAGCGGTGCGCCTGTGACGTCAGGGGCGGCTGACCAATGGGGAGGCGCTGCCCTTTGGAGACAAACCATTCGACTCGTGGCGTCTGCATCAAGTCTGAAAGCAGACGCGCAACTTTCGCAGAATCCACCTTAAAATCTCTGCCTTAAACTGCACCAGCCCCCAAAAAATCCAAGGGGGGAAAGCAAGGGGGGGAGAAGAGAGCAGCTTCCCCCCTCCCCCCTCTCCTCTCCCATCCCTCCCCCTTCCTCCTCCCTTTGGGTTAACAAGGCCCCTGCTCACTATATCTCTTTATATTAAATATATATATATTAGAGAAGAGCGAGGAAGAGAACCACCTCCGCCCCCTCCTTTAAAAATTTTTAAATTTTTTTTTTTTTTTTTTTTTTTTTTGCAAGGATCCCGAGAGCTAAGGTGGCTGCAAAGGGGAGAGCGGCGGGAGCCAAGTGGGGGAGGGTGAAGGAAACCCGGGAGAAGGCTTTCTCCAGCCCCCAAAGTTTTGATGATGACCATGACTACGATGGCTGACGGCTTGGAAGGCCAGGACTCGTCCAAATCCGCCTTCATGGAGTTCGGGCAGCAGCAACAGCAGCAGCAGCAGCAGCAACAGCAGCAACAGCAGCAGCAGCAGCAGCAACAGCAGCAGCAGCAGCAGCCGCCGCCGCCGCCGCCGCCGCCGCCGCCGCCGCAGCCGCACACTCAGCAGACCTCCCCGGCCATGGCAGGCGCGCACTACCCTCTGCACTGCCTGCACTCGGCCGCGGCGGCGGCGGCGGCGGCCGGTTCCCACCACCACCACCACCAGCACCACCACCACGGCTCGCCCTACGCGTCGGGCGGAGGCAACTCCTACAACCACCGCTCGCTCGCCGCCTACCCCTACATGAGCCACTCGCAGCACAGCCCTTACCTCCAGTCGTACCACAACAGCAGCGCGGCCGCCCAGACGCGCGGGGACGACGCAGGTGAGAGGCCTCTCGGGCCGGCTTAGCTTCTCCCGCCTCCCCACCGCCTCCGACCCCTCCCGCCCCGCTCACTTCCCCCTCCTGCCGGCGGCCCCCAGGCTCTCCCCGTCGCCTGGCGCCTGGCTGCCGGCCTCTCCCAGCCTGGCCCCTTCCCGCCGCCGTGGACCCCCGGGCTGGCTCGCCCTGCGGCCGGCCTGGCTCCTCCGCCTCCCGCTCGCGCTTCCCACTGCGCCCCCGGGGCTGCGCGCTCCCCCAGCTCTCTGTTCTCCGATGCGCTCTCCAGCCCACGGGTTCTGCGCGCCCTCTGCCTTGTCCCTTCCCTCTCGCTGCAGCCTCCGTTTGTCAGGACTGGGGACCGGTTCTGGGCCCGGGACTCAAGGGCTAGTTTAAGGCTTTCCCTCACCTCACCCTGGGCGAGCAGTGGCCTACTGTGGGGCACCTGGTGCGCCTGGGTGACTTGGAACGAAGCTGATGCGGCCGATAGATGCAGTTAAACTAATGACAATTTTTTTTTCTTCTTCCCCTGTGAGCTTTGAGGTGTCCCTGCCCCCCCACCCCCAGCCTGACCCGGCCCACTCTGTCTGGGTTTTCCATAGTACTTTGGCCGCTCCTTTGTTCTTGGAGGCAAAGCAGAGGGCCTGGGGCTGATAGCTCTCGGGTGTCCAGAGAATCGCAGCCTGCTTTGGGGCTGCCCTGAGCTGGGTGTGTTTTGTGTCTGGGTTTTGATCCACTCGGGCAGAACCGCTTCGAACATACGGCACAGGGCTTAGAGCACCGAGCTTGCAGCTGGGTGACCCAAAACCAATTGGCCACGTAAACGGCCAGGAGGGTCAGATACAGCTCCAGGCATTGTTTTAAAAAAAAAAAAATAACAATAATAATAAAAACCAGGCCAAGAAGCCGCTCTCGGCTGGGAAAGCTGAAGCCTCGCAGCTCCGGGGACTCCGGAGAAGCCGCCTGCGCTGTCTCCGCTGCTGCCGAGCGCCGCTGTTACGCCTTACGCCCGCGCGGGTTTCCTAGCCTGGACCATCACCGTGCAGTGTTAGGGCAAGAGATACGATCAGTGAGGAGTTTCCACGGTTGCTGGGGATACACAGCTGCAGTGGACCCAGGGAGTTCGGGGTACGGTGGGGATACTATGAGGAACCCTTCTGAACTTGGGGGAAACTCCTTGTCACATGAAGGGAGAAGGCCTCACGGGTGACCGCTACTCTCTGTCCTTTGCTTACAGATCAACAAAAAACTACAGTGATTGAAAACGGGGAAATCAGGTTCAACGGAAAGGGGAAAAAGATTCGGAAGCCTCGGACCATTTATTCCAGCCTGCAGCTCCAGGCTTTAAACCATCGCTTTCAGCAGACTCAATACCTGGCCCTTCCCGAGAGAGCCGAACTGGCTGCTTCCTTAGGACTGACACAAACACAGGTAATTCCCGAGAAGCCCGAGTACCCCAGAAATGCTGGCCCCGCTTGCAAACCATGCAGAGAGCACACCAGGAGGAATTCTTGGCCTAGTCAACCAAGGAATGAAAAAGCTAAATGACAATGCCTGGGCTCCAGTTGCGCACTTTCCTGAGATCACAGTTTGGAACAAATGACATGGTATTGAATACTGGATTGGATTTGCATATACACCATCCCTATGCGACTCCAGCTGAGCCTAGCATCGTTTGGTGAACAAATTCAATCAAATCGTATTCCAAAGCAGAATAACATGAAGTAGAAAGTGTCTGTTTGTGTGTGTGTGTGTGTGTGTGTGTGTGTGTGTGTGTGTGTTGGAGGCGGGGTTCCAGCCTGGAAGCATAATAAGGTCCTTTCTTAAGGATCCTTTTGTGGCCCCTAGGAACTAATAAGAATTTCAGCTCATTGTCATAGGAAGAAAGCATAGGAGAAGAAAACAGGAGCAAGAGACAACTAGATGTATTTTTCAGTAGCTTAATAAAGATGTCCAGGTGCAAGCCATTCACTCCAGGATGGGTAAGGTAGGGTTTTCTGAAGATTACTTTCAGCTTGGTGGCTAAATCATCCTGATACCAAATAGTGCAGGTTGAGGTACCTCCCTGGAGCACAGAACTTGACACAACTGAGAAACAAAGAGAATATTCCCCAAGTCGTGGCCTGGGACACCACAGATAAGAGTCCTGCTGACTTGAAAGCTATACTGGACATTTCAGATTTCAAAGAAAGGGGCCTAGAGGTGAGTAGATCAGGCAGCGCTCTAAAACTAGCAGTTGAGCCAGCTGCACGGCTGCTCAGGCCTTTTCTGGTGTACATCATCTCCATCCGGCAAGGGTACTTCAGGCCTAATAAGACAGTTGCCAAGACCTTACAGAACGGTGTCTTCAGGCCATTTCCCTGAGCTCCTTTCAGCCAGCCTGGTTTTTATTGCCATGTTGCTACTGAAAACATTTGAGGTTTGCTATGAAAGGGCTCTAGCTGCTCCGCGACTCTTATTATTCTTGGAAAAACAAATTTGGGAATTTTAAAGGTAATGCTACATCATAGCTTTCCTTTCATCAAAAGATTTGGGTTGTTGACCTAAATAAGCTGCCAACACAGATTCCTGATTCCATACTTTTCAGAAGCCTTTTGACTTTTAGTAGCTATCCCAACAATCATGTGATGATTGATGCCCTCTGTTTGCTTAAGCAACATACAATGCGAGGGGTCGGGGAGTGGTGCATTTCTTAATCCCTGCAGGGCTGGAGAATATTTATGTCTGGAGAAAGCTATCCCAGCCACATCCCATGGTATCTGCACGGTACGCATAGATATGTTCAAGGTGTTCTGTTGTGAACTCGCAGCCTTTAATCAACTCAGTCATTTGCTCTTTGCCATGCATATAGCACTGCCAGCTTAGGGGTTGGCAATTCGAAAACTGAATAAGTCAGAGGAAGTAAATTCAGTTATACAATTGTGAGCCAAAATCTACTCCGTTTAAAAGTCCTTCATATAATTTTGGGTCCACTGATTCTGTTCCGAATTTTTTCTGATGCTTTAAAACCGTTGCTAGGATTGAACTCAAGAACCACAAGAACCGTTGCTACCCTAACAGGAGATCTAATAGGCCTAGAGTGCAGGGATAGACATGGCTGGCTGGAAAGAGTTGAGGGAGGAGGAAGGGAATGGGCCTTTTGGAATTGCAATGGTTGTTTTCGTCTGTTTGTTTGTTTTTATGTTACTTCTTAAGCCTAGGATGACAATCGAAGGCATCAGTTTGATGTTTATCTGGTTTAATGATTGCTACATGTCTTGCAGGTGAAGATATGGTTTCAGAATAAGCGCTCTAAGTTTAAGAAATTGCTGAAGCAGGGCAGCAACCCACATGAAAGTGACCCCCTCCCGGGTTCAGCAGCCCTGTCACCGCGCTCCCCAGCCCTGCCTCCAGTGTGGGACGTTTCTGCCTCTGCCAAGGGCGTCAGTATGCCTCCCAACAGCTACATGCCTGGCTATTCGCACTGGTACTCCTCACCACACCAGGACACCATGCAGAGACCACAGATGATGTGACTTGTCTGAGGAAACGATCTAGGGGAGCTTCTGAAGGAGGCAAGGAGGATCCGGGACTGCATCTGCCAAAAGGCCTAAGCAATGAGCTCAGAGGAACTGTCCCTGTGATCTGGACCTCTCCCCTCCTACCCCTCTCTGTCTGTCTGTCTCTCTCTTTCTCCTTTCCCATTTCTCTCTCCTCTCCTCTTTTCCTCTACTTCCTTTCTCTCTTCCTCCTCTTCTTTCCTTGTTTTACATCCCTTTTAATCTTGCTTCTTTCTTATCTTTATTCCCTCTCCTCCCACCTTTCTTTTTTCTTCCTCTTCCCTTCCTTTCTCCAATCTCCTGTCTTCAGTAACCTTAATAAGCAACATTGTATCACACACACACACACACACACACACACACACACACACACCAGAGAGAGAGAGAGAGAGAGAGAGAGAGAGAGAGAGAGGTTGGCCTACATGCCAGTGTTCTGGCAACCCATCACTGTAAGGATATTTTCCCTCACACCATGGGATCCAGGCCCAGAGCCTCCTCTTTGGGATTCTCCGTCCAAATAACTTTTTTAAAACAGATAATCTTCACCGGCAGAAGAATCTGCACAATCATGGCAGCATTTTTGCTTATTTAATGAGTTTAAGACATTATGTGATAAAAGGCAAGGATTTTGGACTCCGGAATTTTTGTTTACCAATCCATGACGGAACAGAGGAGGAGGAGGAGGAGGAGGAGGAGGAGGAGGAGGAGGAGGAGGA